CACAAAGTGAGAATTGCTATCATGTGGAAAAGGGATTAGACTTACTCTGTGGCCCCAGAGGAAAGAACCAGAAGCCTTAGGTAGAGGGTATAAAAGGCCAAGTTTAGGCTTGATGTTGGGAAAAATTTCTTAATTTTTAGAGCCATCCAAAAATAGAGTGGCTTACCTTGGGAGGTTCTCCTCAGTAGAGGTCTTACAAATAGAAATGAACTTATCCATTTATTGGGTGCATTATACTATGGATTTCATTGAGGTATAGAATGGGCTAGATCAGCGGTGGGGGAGGGAACTGTGGCCTCGAGGCCACATGTGGCCCTCTACATCCTTGGGTGTGGCCCTCTAGATCCTTGGGTCTGGCCCTTTGACTGAGTCTAAGTTTTACAAAATAAATCCCCTTAATAAAAGGGGATTTATTGTTCTGTAAAATTTGGACTCAGTCAAAAGGCTTCAAATCCCCTTAATAAAAGGATTTGTTCTGTAAAACTTGGAGTTGGAGGACCACACCCAAAGAAGAGGGCCACATGTGGAGGCCACAGGTTCCTCACCCCTGGATGAGACCACAGGTATTAGAATTGGGGCTGACTAGATTAAAATGTAATTGTAAAATGTTTAACAAAATAAAAATATAATACTCCATAGTTTTCTAAGTCAATATGCAGCTCACAGGGAAGTTTCTATTTGAGTGTGACACCCCTAAACCATATGCTAAACACTCTTTCCAACTCTAATCTTTTACAATTCTGTTCAAGTATTTAGCTCCCGCAACCTCAGGCAGAATCCCCCATGATGAGAAGAGGACTACATTAGTGGGGAGGGAGGGAAAGAAAGGGAGGGAAAATTATCTTACATAATCAGGGTGTACAAGAAGACATTTATACAACAAGGGGGAAGGGGAAGCAGCTAACACAAGCCTTATTTTCATCTGAATTGGGCAAAAGGGAGAAGAATACACAAACATCCAGTTGGATACAGAAATACATTTCACTCAACAGGGAACTGAGAGGGAATTGTTACATTAACTATATTAAGGGAACTATATTAAGGGAAGGATGAATCCAAGGATTTTCAAAGATATTTATAGTTTTTTCTGAGGCAAAGAATGGGAATCTGAGGGGGTGCCAGTTGATAGGGGAGTGGCTAAACGAATTATGGTGTACAAATGTGATGGAATACTGTTGTGTGTAAGAAATGAGGAAGGGGATGGTTTTAGAGAAACCTGGGAAGATTTATATGAACTGATGCGGAATGAAGTGAGAAGAATCAGAAGAATTTATATAATGACAACAATATGGTAAACATAAGCAACTTTGAAAGAATTAGACTTTGATCAGTATAATGATCAACAATTCTAGAGGACTGGTGGGGAAACAAGCTATCTACCCTCTGAGAGGTGAAGAATGCAGAGTGCAGAATGAGACATGTTTTATTTGGACATGACCAATGTGGAAATTTGTTTTGTTTGTAATCAGAGGGGTTTTTTTTCATTCTCAATTAGGAATGGGGAGATTAGCATAGGAGGGAGAAAAGGCAGATTTTTGCTGATTGAAAAAATGTAATAAAAAAAAGACAAAGTTCAAATCTTACTTTCTATAGGTACTCTTTCCTGGTCCTCCTAGCTGCTAGTTCCTTCCCTTCTCAGATTACTAATTAGCTATGGGTGTGTGTGTGTGTGTGTGTGTGTGTGTGTGTGTGTGTGTGTGCATACAGGATAAATTGGGAAGGTGCTAAGATTAAAGACGGCCAGGAAAGTTTTCTTGAAGAAGGTGGGACTTGAATTGAGAATGAAGCAGTTGGGTTACCAGTTAGCAGTAGTATCCAAGGGTAGAGATAGAATCAGAATCAATAACCAAACTGATAAATCACTAAAATAAGAAGGTGAAGGAGGAGGAGAAGAAGAAAAAGGAGGAACAAGAGGAAGAAAAGGAGAGGGGGAGGAGGAGGAGGAGGAGGAGGACGGGGAGAAATAATAGTATTAACATTTATATAGTGCTTACTGTCTGCCAGAAGCAAAACAGGTTAATGCATTATAATGATTCTCCATTCTCAGGTACCATTGGCAGATTTTTAAACATGGCCTGTAGAAAGCCCTTCTCATTTCATCTCCTTGATAGGGTGCCACAAAAGGAGAGGCTCAGCTCCCTATTCTTCTGAATGGGAGGTAGCTGTGATAGGATCAGAGGGGGAAACCAAGTTAGTTGACTGTGAGTTGTGAACTTCCCATACTTCAATTACTATACAATTACTTATTTGTTTATATGAAGGTCCAAACAATGTTTTAGAAAGGAAAAGAAAAGATGGAGTTGGCAATTTGGTAGGGTTACAAATAATTTTTACTGAAAATAAAAGTCATACAAAAATAGCCAAACCTGTTCCTTCCCTCTGTCATATTCCCTTACCCATAAATAATCTGGGTTTCTATGCTAGTTATCAGATTGATGAGGGGTTGGGACTAGTTGATAATTATAGGAAGTCTCTGAGGCAGCTCTTTGAAAAGGGAATTCATGGGTATATAAATATAATGTTCAACCTTAAGCTGCAGGCTGCCAGCAGGGGAAGCAAGGTGACTAATGCCTGCAGCCCTTTCTGGTGCCTAGATGGGTCCATTTAACAAGAACCCATTGCCTTGGAAAATATTTTCGTCGCCCCTTCCCCCAAACAAAACAAAACTAACAAAAAACCAAAATAAAACTGAACACGACATATTTATAATGAACAAGTTTGGTCCTGGAGAAGGGTTGAGGAAAATGTACTTTTCTCCCTTCACCGCAGAGGTGGGAGACCATAGACGTGTAGTACTGCATATACTGTTACTTGGGGGGGGTGAGCTTTGTTGAACTGTCCTTTTTATGTCTTCCTTTTTAAATCTTTGTTATAAAGAAATGGCTCAGGAGAAGGAAAGCAGGTATTAAAAAAATGATAGGGGTAGAAAAAAGAATGTTTGAGTTCTGCAAGACACAACTCTAGGTCTTAAGTATTCCTAAGGCCAAGTTGTATGTCATAAGGTCATGGAACTATTTAAAACTGGTAACTTTAGAAATCATCCAGCCTAGCATTTCCCAGCCAGGGGACCTTAAACTAGCTTGTAACGCTTTTTTTTAATTAAAAAGTTTTTTATTGAGATATGTTTTTAAAAATTTTATTTTAAAATAGATTTCTTCCCCCTATTTTCCCCAGTCATCCTATGTAACAAAGATTAAAAAGAGGAAAAAAAAGCAATTCAGCAGCAAAAAAACCCCCAAAACAAAACAAAAAAAAAAAACAGCACATCAGTTGAATCTGATAGCATATGCAGTGTTTCATGCTCATAGTGCCTGACATCTTCCCCAAAAGGGAGGAAGATGCATTTTCTTCTCCTTTCTTTGGGTCCAAGCTTGGTCATTATAATCATGCAGTTAAATATTCTGTTTCTCTTTTTAGTTTGTAAAACTTACAATCCTGAAGGCCTTTACTTCCTAAAGCCCATAAACTTAACAGATTGATTCCTCTTCCACATTACAACATCCTAGTCCTCTAACCCTCCTGTTCCCTCCTTCTCCCTAGATCCTAATCTCCATTTTTTGAGCTGCAAGCCACCTACCCTTTGCTACCTATGGTCAATAATAGAATAATTTTACTGGTTCACAGAACAGCCTGGGGTGGCAAATTCTGATCTAATCCAGTCCTTCTATTTTTAAGTAAAGTCTCAGGAACAGAGATGCCACTCAGTTAGTCAACAAGCATTCATTAAGTAGTTTCTACGTGCCAGGCACACTGGTAAGGGATGGACATACAAAGAAAAACAACAACACATCCCCTATTCTCAAGGAACTCCCATTCTAATGGAGGACACCATATGCAAAAAAGAGGCATATTTGAGAAATATAAAGTGTATGTGGAGGTAATCTCAGAAGTCAGGAGCAGTTTGGGAATGGGGAAGAGACTAGGAAAGACCTCTTGCAGAAGGTGAGATAAGGAGGCTAGGAAGCCAGGAGAAGGAATAGCATTTGGGACATGGGAATGCAGTCAGTGAAAAAGCACGGAGTTGGGAGATGCAAAGGAGCAGCAAAGCCAGTATTGCTGGATCATAGAGGATTTGGAGGGGAGTAAAGTGTAAGGAGACAGGAAAACTAGGAAAGGGCCAGATAATGAAAAGCTTTAAATGCCAGATAGAATTTTATATTGAACCTTGAAGATAATGGCAAGACTCTGGAGTTTATTGGTGGTGGGGAGTTGGTTGACATGGTCAACCAAAAGGAAATCCCTTTGGCAACAAGAAGGATAGATTAGAGTGGGGCGATAGTTGAGGTAGGAAAGCCAGCCAGAAGGCTATGGTAGTAGACTAGATGTGAGGGCAACAAAAATTGCATCAGGGTGGTGGCTATGTAAGGGGAGAAAAGAATATGTAGGGAAAATATTATGAAGGTAGAAATGATGAGATTTGGCAACAGATTGGATATGTGAAGTGAGTGTGAATAACTTGTCAAGGTTATTTTAACTCAATATTTAATTTGTTTGCTTAAATGACTAGGCATCACCCTCTGCCCCTAAACCAGCAATGTGACCCTCCTTAACCTCCAGGAATTCTATTTTGGACTTGGTGACTTGTAGATGTTTATGGTACATCCATTTTGAGATCTGTTTCCTCAACTATAAAATGAAGGGTTTGGACCAAGTCATCTGAAGGCCCAGCAATTTCAAACTGTGGAACTTCATGACCCCCCAAAATGTCTGTGACTCACTACTAAAATAATTCAAACAGTTACTGTGGGATGCAATGTGGTATTAATGGAAAGAGCACTACATCTGGAGTAAAAGGACGTGGGCACGAATTGAACTTTTGACATTTTACATAACCTGCATGAAGTCTGTGGATAGCAAATACATTAAAGGGCATAATAGTTAAGCTTATTTTAGTATGAATGCTATTAAATAATTATATAAGATGGTAAGAGGTGTTATGTATAGTCATTTATGTGACTATCTTGGGTATGATCCTTACTCTTAATTCTTGTATTTTTCAGGTTCCCAGCTTATTCCAAACTGGGTGTGGTGGTTTGCTGCTCTCTCTACCTTTTCTGCCTATGCTTTAGGTACAGTATGAAAAAAAATTGTTCACTAAAAGAATCGACAAATCTTAATTAGCATGATAATATCTAATCCAGCAGCTCAGGTGAATGAGGTGTTCCAAAGTAGGAAAACCTCCAGATGAATTAAAGCTTACCCCTTTGAATCATAACATGTAAGGAAAAAAATAATTTTTGTTGGAAGCTATTGACAAATATAGTTCATATCCCTACTTTCTCGAACCAAATATACTAAATATAAATTAGTCTTTTCTAAAGTAAAGTTCTTTACTTTTTGTACTAAAAATGTGGCTTTGAAAATTATAGCAGCGGGATAGTGACAATGAATATCCATTATTATATTGTGTTTATACAATTATTACTGTATAATACAAAGATGTCCTCAGAGGCACTGTGCTAAGCAATGGGCATACAAAGAAAAGCAAAAACAATCCCTGTCCTCTTGGAAACAACATGTAACCACTATGTACGAACAAGATATATGCAGGACAAATGCGGTAATCTCAGAGGGGAGGCACTAGAATTAAGGAGGACTGGAAAAAATCATATTGTTGAAATGAATTATTCACTTTATCAGAATAATAGGAATGATGATAACAACTCATATTTACCTGATGTGTCAGGGTTTATACTACAACCACTGTTTTCCCTATTTTATAGGTGAGGAAACTGAGTCTAGGAGAGCTTAAATGACTTGTCCAGAGTTGAAAGTAGCTCTGAATAATTTGGGGCTATGTTTAAAAATCACATTTATTCTCAGAGCGTTCAGATTTTCCACTACCAAGGCAAAACAATGAATCCCAGGTTCTGAAAATAAATTAAAATGAAGATTTACAAAAATGTTTTGAACAATGGCAGCTGCCCTGTTAAGGGCTTCATAGGTTTGCAAGGTTGGGAGGTTATTGTATAAGCCTCATTAGGTTCTGTTCCTAAGGCTCTACTTGGAATTTAATTACTGGCCTAGATGAATCCTGGTACAAATGGAGTGGGGGAGGGCTGTTGGGGAGAAATCCATCTGAAGTAGGAGTCTATGTTCTGAGCATTGTGGGGTTTAGTATGAGAGTGTTTTGATTCAAAGCATCACATACAGCTAAAGACCAGAGTATTTATGGTTAGAGTTACGTTCATGGTGGGAAGAATGTGGCTCTTTATGCATCAGGCATCAATTTGCCCATTATAAGAATTGACAAATCTTACTTAGTATGATAGCTAATCCAGCAGTTCAGGTGAGTGAGGTGTTCCAAAGTAAGAAAACTTCCAGTCCAGCTGAATTGAATATCCTTTTTTTTTTTTGGTCAGGCAGTTGGGGTTAAGTGACTCGCACAGAGTCACACAGCTAATGAGTGTTATGTGTCTGAGGCCGGATCTGAACTTAGGTCCTCCTGATTCCAGGGCTGGTGCTCTATCCACTGTGCCACCTAACTGCCTTGAATATCCTTTTGAGCCATAAAATTGAAGGGAGATGTCATTTTTTTGGGAAAAACTATTGGCAAGTATCATTTTTATCAAGGCAAGACTAATTCAGACGCAGTGATCAATTCCAGCAAAAGCTGAGTGGGATTGGGGTCAGAGCATTATAGGAATCTGAGGAGTGATGGTGGACAAAATCATATTTTTTAGTAGGGCTAATGCTAATGGTCTGTCCACTTAGGCCACTTCTTCCCTTCCTACCTAGTGCAGTGAAACTGTTAGCTTGAGCTGGTCCTATCAGCATTGTTGTGGTAAGTATACTTCTACTAAAAGATAATGCATATTTGGCTAAATGAGTTCAATTAAATTCAGTTCAATCAACATTTATTAAGTGCCTTTGGAAAGAAACATACTTTTCTGGGAGCTAGAGATAAATGACACAGACCTTGTTCTCAAGGGGTTTGGAAGCTAATGAGAGAAAATGTAGAGGAAGGGGCAGGTTGGGTGAGTTGGGGGGAAGGGGAGTAAAGAAGGTGTCATAATTACAGAAAATTGTGATCCTAGGGATAATGCAAGTATGGAGAATGGTTTAGACAAAGTGCTGTGGGAAATTTGAGGAGGTAGATATCACTTTTCATGGGAGTGGAGAGCCGTGGAGATGGGAGAGGGAGGAGCCTTCATTGAAAGACAGATGCCTGAATTATCTGGGAAGGAAGGGCAGGACTTCAAAAGGCAGACATGAGAAGAGATGAGGGTCTGAACCAGAGTGGTTACATGAAGAGTTAAGAGGAAAGGATAGATGGGAAAGGGACAGAGGTAAAATCTATAGGACTTGACAAAGGGATTGGAAATGGGAGTTGGGGGACAGAGAAGAATCAAAGATAACTCCAAAGTTATGAACCTGGGTGACCAGGAAAAATAAGGAGAGGGGCATATTTGAGGAGAAGATTTATTTTGATTTGTTGGTGGGAAATACAAATGGAGATATCTAATAATTGTAAGTATAGGATGGCAGAATTTGAGAGTGGAGATCAATAGTCAACAGGCAATAAACATTTATTAAGCATCTACTAAGTGCCAGGCACTATGTTAAGTACTAGGGATTCAAATATGTAAAAAGAAAGATAGTTTCTGCCCTCAAGGAGCTTACAATTAAACAGAGGAAGACAACAAATGCACACACACAAACCTGAAAAGGAAATGGTAGGGAGAGGGTACATGATCAGGTGGGCATGGTGGAAAAGCTAAAGAAATCCCAAATGAGTGCTACTGGGTGGGAAATAAGGAGATGTTTGAGGGAGGTAAAGCTTTGGGAGTCATTTTATAGAGGTGATAATTCAAATAGTGAATCAGACCAACAAAGAAGAGAATACAGAAGGTGATAAGAGGGACAAAGGCAGAACTTGGGGGGATACCAGAGGTGGAGATATGAAGAGCCAGCAAAAGAGAAAGGAAGCTGTTGGAAAGGAAGGAAAGAGAATTGAGAGAATGTGGTGTTACACAGGCCAGAGAGAAGAAAGGATATCTAGAAAGTGAACAGTTGCTCAAGAGAAGTTAAAGAAGATGAGGACAGAAATTAGGCCACTGAATTTAGTGATAAGGAAGTCATTCATTTATTATCAAAAAGCTGAGGAGATTAGAGGAGTTAGAAGACAAATTGTAAGCAAAGTTCGAGTTGAGAGAAAATGTAGTTAGTGAGTATAATAGCTTGAGGGAGCAGCAGGATCAATGGAAGATTTTGTTTTGTTTTGTTTTTGGCTTGTTCTTAGGATTGGGGTGACCTAAATATACTTTGTACTGTAGTAGGAGACATTCAAAGGAGGAGATGTAAGGGACAGGGTATGGTTGATGGAGCAAGGTCACAGGAGAGATGTGGAGTGGGTTGAGAAGTACAGGTGGAGGTGTTTTCCTTGACAAGGTGAAGGACTGCCTTTTTCCTCTGAAACTAGAGGGAAAGAAGAAAATAGGAATGAGAATTTTGAAATGCTAAGATGAGGACATTGAAGTTGAAGTTCACCTTGATGGCCTTAATTTTTTCCTAGTAGAAGGAAAAGCCATTATTTGAGAGTAAGAAAAGGTATGGTTAAAGGTTTGAGGAAAGAGGTTTGGAGCATCTATTGTGGGAAATGTGAAACTCTCTCATATCCCCCACAGCGGAGTGTAGTCATGATGATACCCTTCAAATACCCATTTATAGTGTGAGTTTACAAGCTCCCAAATCCATCTGTTAAAAATTAAGAGTGATAACATATATCTAAATCTCCTAGCTGATTTTTTTTTGACTGGACTACTGTAGACAAGCTAATTTGCTTCATCTTGTGATCAAAGGAAGAACAAGTGCTCACTTTTTTATTTCTTTTTTTCTTTCTACTCATTTTCCCAATTTCCCTTTTTTTTCCCACCTTGCTTGACAACTTTGCTATTTTGAACTATATTACACCTGATGTGAATTTCCAAATAGGTAATAGTGTAAAAGTGAATGAAATTCTCTAGGGCAAGTCTTTTTGCTTTAGAAATATAGCTTGACTAGACATAGTGGCATAAATAAATGATAATTCCTCTTTAGTGAGAGACATTCTGAAAACTTACATGGCAGAATAGCATAGGTGAGAATAGCAATAGTGTTAGAAAATTGTATGAGAAACTGCTGCCACCTTCTGGCCTTACAAAATAGGGCTGCTTGTGAATTCAGAAGCCTTGTAAATCCCTACCTTTTCATTTAACAAAACTCTTTGAACAAGGGAAATTTGGGGACTTTACAATCTATAAAGAGAATTCTTTAAACATTTGACTTTTAAGGAAAACAATGATTTAACCTTCCAAAGGATCAGGCCTTTTTGAACATTTCATATACAGAAGTTTAAAGAGAAATACTAAAAAGCATTCCTTCTTGTCCTCCATAGCAACTTCTAGGTTAGGTCTTCTATCTAGATCTTCCTTTTTTTTCCTACTATTTTCCCTCCTATCCCCTAAGAATCTCTCTTTTTTCCCTTCCTAAAAGCAAAACAAAATAAAGAATCTAAGGAATGAAATAGAGGGAAAAAAATCTTCCAAAGTCAAGAATTTAAATGTCATCTTTAGTAAATTAGGTTTTGGTGATAATGATTGGCAGTGGTTACTCCTTCATTTTTGTAATTACTTTGAATTTGATGCTTAATTTTTAAAGACTAGTTACTTTTGCCTTTTTATATTTATGTATAACACTCTCTAGCTCACCTACAGTTTTTACTTTAAGGTAATTATGTCATATTAGGAACAATTTTCAGTGATTTCAAATCCACTTGCATCTATGAATATATAAGAAAGGATAATCTTCTTAAAGAAGTTAATTAGGCCTGAAACTTTGATCAGCATGTGGATAGAATACAATTTCCTCACGCTACTGTGTTTTGCTGGTAAGTACAGGCCTGAAATAGGGTTACAAATTCCAAGCTCAATTTTAAGTCATGACAGAAGCAAGCCATGGAGCTGGGGATGCCTATGTTCTGTTATCAGGGTCTGACGGGGTCTAAGTGCTCTATGCCTCACTCTGGTAAATGTCTTTGAAAGATTTATAGCAAATTGTTAGTGAATGACCTAGGAGGCGGTTTATCTGT